TTTAGTTATATATGAATAAATTTGAGGGTTTTTGTATCAGATACGCTAAATAACAGTTTAATAGTGTTTTTCTAAGAATGCGAGGTGATTAGTTTTCCTATGCTGAACATTTATAATTCATGCATTGACATGTTGGTACACTATTCTTATCCTAGCTTGTTATCTCTCTCTTTTAATTACTTATGATTATATAGAGGCGATAAATGATTTTAAGATCCATGAGTATTTATGCTTGTCATGTCTTTTAATCAAGGATAAATGATGGAACTTGTAAAACCTCAATGTTGAAGTCATATTTTATCTTCCATAATAAAAACTATAATTGAAAGGTCCGTTTATTTTTTATATATATATATATATATATATATATATATATATATATATAAGTAAAAGTTACTTATTGACTTTCATAAGTTATTTATGAAAGTTTTGATAAATTCAGTGCTTGTTTTGTACCAGCAAGAAAAACAAATATTATAAGGCTGTGAATCAACAATCTAGAATAAGTTTTTGCTTTTTTTTCATTTAACACATTTCACTGCCACGTTTTAATCATATTGTTAGTTGGTCTAATTTGTTTTTTGCATGTGTAAAAACTTATAGTTTTCATGAAAAATGCTAAGAAATCACTACAAAAAAACGCGTCACTTCAAGGGGTTTAATTTGCATGATGCGGCGGACAATAACCCCCCCCCCCAATTTCCTGCCTCGGTGGTTTTCAAATCTACCCCAAGAATGTTCGTCCTTACCAGTTTGTGGAGGTGGTAATCCTTGCCGCTACAATATTTTAACGGCGGATTTATAGCGGTAAGTTAATTATCTAAAAAGTTGGGGGGTACAAAACCCCCGATATATGATCATTTAGTGGGGGGTTAAGACCTACAAAACTTTTTTTTTAATAAGTAACATTTGTATTATAACTCAGCACTTGGGTAGTGCTAAACCCCTTTACAACAAGTCAAAGTATAGCAATATATAAAAGGAATCCCAATCCTAGCATGATTCTAACACATCTAGGATATTTTCTACATCTATAGGGGAGTTCCGTGTACACCAAAAACACAAAATCAAAATACAATCGATTTGATTTTTCCTGTACCGTTCTACTCCTATTTTCGAAACGCCTAGCATTTCTCTCTTTCCAGATGATCTACCATATACAAGATGGTATGGTTTTCCAGTAGCTCCTGTTTTTTTATCCCTTCCCAGCTTCTTCCCACCTAGTTAGAGTGTCAACAATCTTGCTAGGCATTGTCCATTTTATGCCTCTGAGATTATTGAAAATCTTCCATAGTTGGTTAGTGATTTTACAATGCAAAAACAAATGTCCAACTGTCTCAGCTGCCTCACCACATAAATAATAACGCGTGACTAAGATAATGTTCCTCTTTCTTAGGTTTTCATGTGTCAGAACAACTTCTTTTGCTACAATCCATGAGAAATATGTCATCTTCAAAGGTGCTTTGGTTCTCTAGATTGGTTTCCATGGCCATATAGATTTTTGTGTCACAGTCCAGTTCAGAAGTTTGTACCCAAAACTTACTATACATACCCCTTTGTTGTGCCATTCCACCACAGTCTATCCACCCCATTCTTCAGATCTTGAGAAGCTTCAAGGATTTTGAAGAACTCGGTCAGTATAGGAATTTCCCAATCATTCATGTTTCTTCTAAAATTTAAGTCCCAGCCTTGGAACGCCCACATGACAGATATTATTCTGTCCTCATGGATAGATAAATCAAATAAATCAAGGAATTAATTTCCTAATCACCTATCTTTCTAGAAGATAGTTTTATTAACATTATCTACACTAATGGTAGTGTGGTTACGTAAAATAGTCCACCACTTTCTGATAGATCTCCAAACAATGACACCATAAGATTTATTTGCTTCTCCAGTCATCCATCCATCCAATTCTCCTTACTTTGGTGTAATCACCTTTTTCCATAAAGAGTGTGTCTCATGGGCATATATCTATAACCAATTCATTTTCAAAGCTTTACTTTGGTTCTTTAGATTTTTTATACCATGCCCCCCCTGTTTCTTGCTTGAGATTAGTTCTTTCCACTTGACTAAATTATAATCTTTCTTGGTATTATTTCCTTGCCCAAAGAAGTTGTCCTGATCTTGTCTAGCCTCTGTACTACCATTGCTGGGATGGGGAAAAGGGTAAGCATGTAGGTTGGAAGAGCATCTAAAATAACATTAATCAAAGTGAGTCTACCCCCTCCCCCCCCCCCAAGAAAAAAGTATTGGGCTTTCCATCTTGATAATTTCCTCTCGCACCTTCCAAGATATTGTCCTGAATTCTCTTAGACCTTGATTAGGCCCCCAATGACATCACTAGATATATAGAGGGTAGGGTTCCGAATTTTCCTCCCAAATTAAGGCTAAAAGGTCAATGTTTGGTACATTAGATATTGGATTAATGTGACTCTTCTCCCAAATTAACGTGTAAACCTGAAATGCCTTCAAAGAGTATTAGGATCACTCTCAAGTATCTTAACTGTTCATCTTCTTCACCATAGAAAATCAATGATCATCAGCGTATTGTAGATGTGTCACCTCTAGACTTTCTCCGTTGTTATTAGCCACTTCAAAACCAGATAGCCAGTCATTGACCTTTCTTGTCTTAATCATATTATTGAAACCTTCCATGGCTAGGATGAACAAAAAAAGGGACAGAGGTCCCCTTATCTTATTCCCGTTTGGGCTGCAAAAAAACCTTTCGGTGATCCATTTATTACTACTAAAAATTTTACGGTTGAGATGTAGAATCTGATCCAGTTGATCCACTTATCCCCAAATCCCATTCTCTTGAGTGTGTTGATTTAGAAACCCCCAATTTACATGATCATAAGTTTTTTTCTATATCTAATTTACAGAAGATTCCAAGAATCTTTTGTGATACTCTGGAGTCTATTGTTTCTTTAGTTATTAATATTGCATCCATAATTTGTCTGCCCTGAATGAAATAAATTTGCTAGGAGTCTACCAATTTATCCATCACCCTTTTGATCCTTTCAGTCAACACTTTAGACAAAAGCTTGTAGAAACTGCCTATCAACCTAATTGGTTTAAAATATTTGAATTCCTTTGCTCCTTTCGTTTTGGGAATTAGTGCAATATATGTTGCATTGAAGCTCTTTTCAAATATCTCAACTTCATAGAAGTTGTGGAAGGCATTCATAATTCCATGTTTTAGAACTTCCCAACATTTGATGAGAAGGCCCATTGTGTATTCATCAGGTCTAGAGGCCTTATCTATAGCACACTTTTTCAAACAACTGAGCACCTCCTCCTCCTCAAATTTGCCTTGTAATTTTACTTCTTCTGCTTTTGAGATTGTAGGACAATTTATCATGCTTCTTGCTGGTCTCCATCTTTCTATTTCTGTGTAAAACTTCTTATGGAACTGTATGATCTCCTTTTTCACTTTGTCTGTCTCCTTCACTGTCTCACCTTGTACATCCAGTTGGTCAATGCAATTACTCCTTTTAGGTGCATTGGCTGAATTGTGAAAGAACTTAGTGTTGCTGTCAACTTTTTTTAGCCAAAAGATTTTGGGTCTTTGCATCCATGCAGTCTCTTCGTTCTTGAGTAGTTCTTCATGTTCCAGGAAAGCAGTTGCCTTTAATGCAACCTCCACCTCTGTTAGTGCTCTATTATCAATGATGGAATGTAGAGTAGCCATTTTGTTTAACACGATGGATCTTTCCAAAATTAAATTTCCTTTTTCTTCCTTACTTCACACCTCCAGTTGACCCTTCAGTGCTTTCGATTTTCATGTTAAAATGTTGTCTGGTTTCCTGTATATGCAAAAGACTTCTTTGGACCACAAGTGTAGGGGTGGGTACTTCTATTGCTCTGATCTAGATCTTTTCCCGACTTTGGTGTGATGGTACACAACCAACTAATGGGTTCCACCATTCGAGATTCACCTTCATGTTCTTCCAATTCCATTCTCCTTGCTGAATTTGTTCTGCCATATTCTTGTTTGGGAATTCAAAAAGGAAGATGTGCCCTGCCATCTCATAGATGTTAACTCCAAATTATTTCCTCCAGGCGGAGGAGTCCTAGTTTCTTATATCAGTTAGAGTAGGTCTCTCAAATCCTCCGAATAATCTCGTAATACTTCTCCCATGTGGGCCCTCTATGCTAGCACCGGCTTCTTTGTGGCGTTGTTGTTTCCATTTACTTCTCTCAACTACCCTAGCATACATAATAGTTGGCTTTAAATGTTGTTTGACTATACATCGTGGAGTGGTGTTAATGAAGTCTTCAATCTTGAATGATATGTCTCTCTATCCCGCATTAATTCCAAGTTCAGGAGTAATAATGACTTTTCTGGTTTCTCCTATGATGGCCAAAAGACTCATATACTTTCCATGTACATTGTACTTTCTGGTGCCGTAAAATTCTGAAATTTGTTCTTTTATCCTCCATCTTCTTCCCAAATTTTTATTGTCGTTGGAGGCTGCCTTGAGGATATAACAAATCTATTTCATTATAGTTCTGTTCATTGTTATTCTTTGCATTCTTTTTTTACTTCTCTCTATCCAATCAAACCAGTTTGTTTTGCTGGAACTTTATCTTGTGATATCGAAGGACTTGAAGCTTGCGTTAAAATAGATTTTGTTGTCTGCCATAGTAAATACATGATCTGCAGAGCGAACGGAAAAGAGAAAAAAGTTTGAAGCAATTCTCATAGTGGGTGAGTATTGATATTCTACACGACCTAATAATTTACTAATTTTAAATTTTCACCTAAGTGTTAAGCAGATTGCCTAACGTGTTCCCATAAAGCAGTAAAACTAAAAAAAACTCTATTTTTACGTGGAAACAACCAGCTCAAAAGGTGTAAAACCCACGATCTGTACCCTTACATGATTTAACTCCAATTTCACTAAATCAACTACGAGCATCCACAAAATATAGATTACAGACTTTGCAACCTACCTTAACTTCAAGTTATGGATTTTAAATAGAACTCTTGTAATCCTAGGAATTAACTCTAATTCCTAACCTTCAACACAAACCTCCCAAGGTATGTGTTCGCAACTCTTTGAGTTATCAAAACCCTAAGACAACACTCCTGATTCAGTTTATAACTCACTGAACTAATATTACACCAAGACTAATTAACAAAGAGAAACTCCTAACACATAAACTCTTTAAAGGATTAGGTTCTTCGATGTGTTCCTTCAGTTCGCTGGTAGCACTTGCGAAGTGAATTTCTTAATCGCTCTTTTGCTCTGTAAATGCACAAGTATCTTAACGACTTCACTTCTATTTAAGCACAATTTACCATATAGTTATTGTTCACTTCAAACTCCTTATTGACTTGAACTCTTTTGACTGAGAAATCTACTTCAAGTAAGACTCCTTCTTCAATTCAAAATCCTACCTTCTTTGGACTTCTTCTTCAAATTACATTAATTGATTCTGTTGTATTGTATTTGAACTCCAACACTTCATTTCAATAGTAACTTTTAGAGTTCTACTTTAAGTGAGACTCCTTCTTCAATTAAAATTACTTGCCTCTTTAGACTCCTTCTTCAAATCAAACTCATTTATTCTTTCTCTTCAATTCATCAGGTGTTTATTATCTTGGGGTTCCTCACGAAATTAACATTATTCCTTTCTTTATTTCTTCACTCTTGTCCTTATTAATTTTAGAAGCTTTCTCGAATTCAACAGCTCATGACAGAGTACCTTTGGACCGTGTTGACTGACATATTTCTTCTTCCTTTGTCAATCATCAAAACTTCATAAATCCCTTTTTTTGATAATTACAAACTTTTTTTCTTTGTGCATTCAAACAGTTTTATCTGTAGACACTGAAGCATGAAATACTAACATGAAACAAGTTAGTCAATAGGTTATAAACACTTCACAACTCTTATCTTCCCTCTTTTGGCATCATTGAAAAGCTATGTCAATCATATAATATAAGAACTGGATTGATCAGTTAAGCTATTCATGGCTATTGGCTATATCCAAGAAAATCAGATAACGACTTAATGCAACATAATAGTGTATTATAGAGAGAAAGGACATGATCAATTAAAGCAATCAATAATCAATCCATTAAACTACCCGATAATGTTTTATTTAAGATTGATGCAAAAAATATTGAGCACTAATCAAAAAAACAAATACTTAACATGAGTAGAATAAAGCCAGAGGCACTAATATTGGAAGAGAATAAAAGAATGGAACAAGTGGAGATAGTAGTGTCAACAATCTTTATCAAGAACAGTCTCTAGAGCTTAAAGTCATATCTGATTTTTTTCGTAAGCAATAAAACCAACCTCCAGTTTAACAATCTTATTAGTGAAAATATTACTTCAACTTTTCATTGGAGTAGGAGTTTTCCTCATTGACGCATATAGGTCAGCATGGTTCATCTATTCAATAAATTTTTTTTTGGAAAAACCATGCATGAATTGGAATTGAGTATTCCTCAAAACTTAGTATGGAAATCATGTTATCCTTGTTTTTTCATGCTAGCTCTAAGATAATGGAATCTTGTTGACACTTTTGATTTCTACATGAGAATTCAAGGTGGAATAGATAAAAAATGTGTTTTAGGAGTTGATTCTTCCCCATGAACTGAAAAATGAGAAACTATTTGCTTTAAGCTTGCACAAAAAACACCCAAGAAGCTAAAGTGAGAGAGAACAATTTGAAAGAATGAGACTCTTGCGCTTGGACAATTATTATTTTTTGTATTATAACAATTAATACATGGAACATGAGTTCTCAATTGTTTCACTTTACAAAATATTAACCTCTATCAATGTATAACATACCTGATAAGAGCAATTTTCTGATCATCATTGCTTGTTTTTACCATATCTTCACACAATCTAATACAAAATTAGGGTAAAACAGGTTAAGGATCTGGAATTGGGACACACAAGTGAATGTATAAGACTGAATTGAATAACATTTTAGCTCATAAAGTTAGGAGAACAATCATAATTCTCCCTACTTTTTGAAAAAGAACAGCGTGATCCAACAATCACATACTTTTGCAGACAAATCGGTTTCAAGATTCATTATTCACCCTATCAATATGCCTTAGTCTATTCAACAAATGAAACATGTCGTACAAAGTGTTCCAATGCACTCTCACTAATTTTTGAAGTGAGTGAAAGTAACCTTTGTTTGTCTTCTTTGATATCTCTTAAGCAAGCATTATTTATGAATTGCATCACTTTCTTCCTTTCTGCTTCACCTGCAAAATATCTTAGAGGTTAGTATTAAGAACACAGACAAGCTTGGGTCCTTTCTTATGATAAAAAGGGTGAATCAAATTTCTTCTCGTCCATCTTGGCAACAGGTTAGTGGACCTGTTTCTGCCAACAGAGATAAATCTGTTTCCATTTGCAAACCTAATATTTCTTTATCTAAAATCATTAGCAACTTGACACTAAGTAGTTGGATGACCAATTTTTTCATCAGCCTTCTCATTGTGCACCCTATCACTCAATTTGTTAACAATTCTAGATGAGTGAGTCCATCTATTTGCCTTCTAAAGCTTTACTTTTATTTGACAGATTTCAATGTTTAATTTCCTTGCCATTTCTTTTTCAAAAAAATTGTTATTTTTGCATTTTTTTAAACTCATTTTCAAGTTTTTCTTTAGTTTCACTCATTATTCCTTTTTCTTTTTCAGTAACTGTCATCCTTAAAATTTCAGAGTTTAGATCTAGGTTAGATGACTCAAGTGATTCAAAATGTTTCTTCAGACAATTATTTTGTTTATAAGTTACAACTCTGTCATCTTTGAGATCCATGTACTCAAATTTTTGGTCTACAAAGGCTTTAAACAACTGATCTCTTTCACATATTAATTCTTCAAATTTATCAATTAACCCATTCAACAATTCAATTAATTTATGTTTTGAAAATAGATGCAACTTTTCTTTAATATCAATGATACTAACCTCAGAGTTTTCTTCTTCTTTTTCTTCCACGTCTGAATCTCGAATAGCCATGAGAGCAATCTCATCTACCTTTTCATCACTAGTACATTCTGATCCTATGTCTTCATGTGTGTCCATGAGAGTATCCCAAATTTGTTTTGCAGTTATGCAACTAGATATTCGACAATACTCATCTGGTCCAATGCCACAAATAAGAATAAACTTAGCTTTTGCATTATTTTGAAGAATCTTATAGTTACCCTCGTCGTATTCACTCTTTTGCTTTTGTATGTTATCATTTTTAGCATCCGTTTTAGTTGGGTATTCTTTTCCATCAATAACTATATTCCAAAGTTCATAATCATTAGCCTGAATAAAAGTTTCCATCATTGTTTTCCACCAAGACTAATATTGACCATTGAATAACGAAGGCTTGTTGATATCTTGTCCTTCACAATATCCGAGTGGAGGTGCAGAATTCACCACACTATTTTATGTCTACAACCACCCTAGAAAAGTGTGGCGTAAACTATGAAAAAGTGTTACCTTTGATAAAAGGCCACACTTTTTGACTTTAAGCCACACTTTTTCAGGGGTGGCTGAAAGTCCCATAAAAGTGTTGCCAAAAACCAGAAAGGCCATGCTTTTGCAGCTACACTTAAAAGTGTTGCCTTATCATCTACACTTTTCAGCTAACCTTAAAGGCAAAAAGACCATGCTTTTCAGCTACGCTTAAAAGTATGGCCTTAGCAGCGACACT